TTTTTCACGCTTAGCGAATTTATGAAAGAATTTATAAAAATCTTTAACTACTTGGAGGGTTCGTTTAATTGAAAGCAGCTAAGGCTAATGATAATAAATGAGCTCTACAGTGAATATATGGTATTTCTCTATGTGCTATTTCAGATAGTCTTTTTCGTACTCCAGTTATACTACCAGAAAAATTTGCAGCACCATCAAAACCAAGACTTATAAGTTTCGAATAGTCGAGTCCTCTTTTATTTAACTCTCGATTAATAGTTTCTGTCATGGTTTGCGCATTTGTGCTAGATAATTCAACGATGCATAAAAATAATTCTTTAATTTTACCACAATCTGTTACAAAACGAATAATTATTGTCATTTCACAAATATTTTTAATATTTTTCGACTCGTCAGCCATTAATGAAAAATATTTATTTCTCAATTAATTTGAGTCATGAGTTTCAAGAACAGTGGAAATACAATTTAATATTTCAATAGCTGTGTTTTTACTCATGTAAGTCGATCTATCGTTTTGTTTTTCCACCCACTCAAGTAAAGTTTGATTTTGTTTTAGCACTACTTTATTTAATAATGATTCATATTTAGTAGTATGAGGAATTTCTTCTTTTGCCAAAAAATAAACACTATGCACAAAAGTGGAGAAATTAATTCTATTTTGTATTTTTTCTGAGTTACTTTGTTGAATCATTTGTGTATGTATAGGTTCATTTTTTCCTTGTAAAAAAAAATTTGTTTAAAGCTAAAACCTTAGAATGATTTTCTGAACAGGCGTGTTTTAAGAGCTTACCAGTTTTACTAGTAGCTTTTCGATAATTCGTAAATGGGGTACATATAAAAATATATTGTGATTTCTGCAAAGCGCTTTGATTATTACTAAGAAATTTTTCACACACCTCACAAAAAGCCCCACCCTTTTCAGCATTAAAATACAACCAGTTGAACGATTTTTCCCAACTTTTTGATAAGAATAAGTTTTTAATACTTTATGAACACTAATTTCGTGGGTGAAACCGGTGAAAGTATAACTGATGGGTCATCAACGTCTTCTTGTTCTCGCATTGGCCACATTTGTTTTTTTCGAAACATATCTAATATAGGATTACTTTTGCGTTTTGACATAATTACTGGCCAAAAAGCACTAAAACACGACCAAATTGAAACAAATCAACCAAACTGAAGTTTGACGTAGGTAGTCTTAAACACGTTAACCACTACACTGACAGTCGACAGACGACGGCACGTTTTAAAAATTACCCACATGCGATAAAGGATAAGGTATCTAAAATCGATTATGCTGATGTGTGATGACTAACAACTATTAATATACGAAAAGGTAATAACCAACAAATTATTATGTTAAATATTTATTTTATTTTATTATCAACCGTGGTCCGTGATGCACAAAATAACTTACATTCGGCCGATAACTCGTTTCACATATTATCGCATTACAATATGTAGTTAAGGTAATAATGTCATAGATTTTTTTTTTTTATGAAATAAACACTGATAGTTACCTACTATAAGTTTACTTTTACATTAAGACTTTTGACAGAAATTTCTCTAGGTGGTCTTATAATATATATATAAGTAGTAAGCCATATGGTGGTAGGGATTCTGATAAAACCATATTTGAGTAAAGCAATCTCACTGAATTCATGCAAAATCCTAATGCTGTTATAGTTGATGAAGGTTTTTTAATTGATAATACTTGTAAAAAAAAATAATAAAACTACAATAAGACCACTTTTCCTTAATAATCAAAAGCAATTTTCTATGAAAGATACTTAGTTATTCAAAAATATCGTTTAAGCTAGACTTCACATTGAAAGAATTAATTAGCGATTAAAACTTAATATTTTTTGTTACACATAAATGTTATATATGAACAGCTTAATATAATATGTACCATGTGTTTTGTTGTTGAACGTGCCACAGCTGTGGCTGCGGGCTGACCGAATTACCACCAATTCTACTTTTAGTACACAGAGGCGGTGAAAAATAAAGCTTCACGATGACCATTGTGCGTGCAAAATTCTACTTATTTAACTGTCGCACACATACGCGCAGGTTTATTTATGTACACAAATACAAACTTAGAGGTGACGTTAAACGGTGCCTGCCTGACGTCATAGGAACATTACCACCGGCTGAAATACTGGCATTTGTCTACGTAATAATTATTTTGTGCATTTCTTGTCGGTTTAACGCTAAACCGTTTTGTGTTCATTCAACACAAAACGGTTAAAATATATATATTATTATATTGTATAATTTATATTATATTGTATAATATAAAATATTATACAATATAATAATTCATAATTCATACTATTAAACTTCATAAAGATTTTTTCTCAAATAAAATTATAAAATCGTTAAAAATTACTAGCGAAATATATACTATCGGTGATCCAAGAAGTATTCTTTTTGAATACTATTTACTACATCATTTCAGGTGAGGCGCCGCTACACTTGCCTTGCCTTCAAAACCACTACTGCATTGAAAAACTCGTACATCAAACTTCCTACAGTTGCAGTTTACCATCATGCCAAGCTGTTTTCTACAAATTTCAGCAGTATAACCTAAAAATATTTATTTTTAGTTTAAAGTTTGATCTTATTAGACTAAGATTTATAAACTTTTCTTGCTTAAAAAAAAAAAAAATACAAAATTAGTTTATTTAATTCTTAATTTTAGTTTTTATATTTAATATTCATTATTTTGGGTATTGACTCATAATGTTCCTTAAAGGCGGATGAAGGCATAGGTGTTATCCATAAGCTTTGTCTTCTAAATATCGGTGATTCCACCAATATAACTTTACCGCATACACGTTTTTTTTGAGATTTCAGGGAATTCAATAGATTTCTTTGTTGAAATTTCATCTTCAATATTTTGAACTATTGGTATTTCAGTTACTGGAGGCGGCCTGTTTTCTGAAATTTCTCGTTCAGGAGATTTTTGAGTCTCCTGAAGCGGTTCGATCTTAGTAATTTCTAAATCTGGTGTCTGTATTTTAGGTAACTGACAGTTTTTGGTTTTAATATCTTGATACATAGGTCTTGTATTTAATGCAAAAAGTTCGTTTTCTTCGGAATCTTGATGTTTTGGTTCTTTGAGCAATACCGTATTTGTAAAGTTTTGACAAATTTTTGTAAAATTTATTATCATTTTTGAAAGTGTTATAGCTTTAATACCTTTTTCTATATTAATATTATCATTGTTAGGATACATAGTTTAAAAATTATTTTTCCTTTGATAAAATAAACCACAAAAATAAGATATAAACCTATTTGATTTAATTGATTTTGTTCCTATGTAAATGTTTTTTAAATATAATATTAATAGCCAACATTAAATAAATAATCTTATACTCTTTAACATTTCAATATCTACCATATTGAGTCAACACGTCAATTTGACGGTACATTGTATAATTTCGGTTGTAAATGCCACCTTATGTACTCTAAATCCGGTTAACACATTAACAATGTCCTACTGGAGCTTTGGGCCAACCAAAAAGGACTGGTTTAGTGAGAGTCCAGAATGGCACTTTTATACTACTTTTAACTTCACATTGTCCCATTTAAACTTTTAGAACGCATGATGCAGTGTAAAATATTGATCGACATCTTCTGCACGACTCATATGGCTCAGTTCTTCATATTCGAACATAAACTTGCAATACACCTAGTACAAAATCTTATTATCCTAGGACAATTTTAGCTCCAAGAAGAAACGATTTAAGGCAACTTATTGTGATCCCAGAAACTCTTCTGAAATCCACTATGGCCTGAAGGGAAAGGGAACAAAAACCGACTTTAGCTGCGCGAGTTACCTCAGACCTGGACAGTTTCTCACACAAGCCATCTTCAGTGAACCGAGGTAGAGTGACTTCAAGTTCCTCAACATTCCAAAACTTCTCTATCATGGTCTCCATTGACGATTTTAACGACATAAGCATGGATGGAGCATCCACATCAGGATGAGTTTAGACAGTACCGATTAACACCCAACTAAAAATAGAGCTATACACAGATGGGTAACCTAGGCCCAGCGAATCACTTTTATCATTTCAAACTTGAAGGAAAATATCCGCCCCAATGAGCGCCATCTATTGTCAGCAATAGGTGCTAATGGCGACAGACGACTTGAAAAATAGCGCTTTAGATCATAGATGATTATCGCTAAATATCGAGTAACGATATCTCGTTACAAAGTGAATGAGAACTTGGCAAAAGATTTTCTGATTTCTTAGCCTACGATTTTATTCTAGATTAATATTTAGAAATATTTACAATTTTATTCAAAATAACTTTTCAAATGTTATTAGAATTCAGCCAAAATTTAGCTGTTTTTTTTGATAAAGAAACTGATACGTATACCAATATCCTCATAAGCTTTCTAATACAAAATTTTGTTTGAAAGACATAATTGTTTAGTTGATGCTAAGTTTATTTTTATTTATTATTATTATTTTATTATTATTTAATATTTGTATATATAATAGTATTAAGTAGTTGTACATTTTATTTTTAACATATGAAATTAAACTTGGGTATTCATACTTTCAACTAAAGTAATTAAATTAATTATATTTATTATTATTCAAAATTCTATTATTTTTTTGTGTTTTGTATCATATAATATCATTTAGTACCTCAATTCTCAACTACGGTCTATGATTATAAAGTGGTTCTCTTTCATACATGAAAATATTTTCATAAACTGCTTATAAGAGTGTAATATAAACTCAATTAACTAATTCTAGTTCTATTGTTAAGATTATGTTATCAATATTTTAATTCTATATCATAATCAAACAATTATACTTTAATATTATCATATTATCACTGTACTTAATAATTAAAAAATTCACACAAAATACATAGTCATAGCTAATTAATATAATTTAAATGTATTTACATAATAAAATAAAAAATATTTCACTTATGCTTTAAAAATACAAATTTTAAACACTGTATTTTCTAATTATATTTTAAATTCTGAGATGAATGTATTAATTTTACAATGTGTTTCTTTAGTTTTTACATGGTCATAATGCTATATTTATCAATCATAAAATATTGAAAAATACATAGTCACCAATATTGATCTAGACCTGCATGATGAAGATGGACTCACATTTAAAGCTGAAAATTTAAATGATATGAATAATTATTGAATGTTGTCGATTAATATGTTAAGCAAAAATATTTCTTTAGATTATGTATACAAGAAATATAAAGTAATAATTTTAAAATAACAACAAAATATTTATTTTGTACTCACTGTCTTGATAATTATTTTTTTTACTTCATCATCACTGCTGTTATCCTCACTAGTTGATATGATTTCTTTAGAAACAATTCTAAGTTTCTGTTTAGATGTCATGGAGACTTTTTTATAACTGTTCGACTAAACATGAGATTTTTATGAAATATAGCAATTAATATTGTTTACAAATTTAAATTACCGAATTTTTTCTCTTGGATGATTGTGCATTATTAGAAGTAGATTTGGCTGAAGTACTAATATTCTTTCTACATTTTGAATCCGTTTTCTTCTTCTTTGCACTATTATCAGCTTGACTATTACATTAAAGCAGGAATTAAAAATTTGATAAATTATCTTACATAAATAATAGGTAAAAACCTAAATACACATAATTACCTTTTTTTTGATTTTTTAGGACATTTATTTTCCTCCTGCTCATGATTTGAACCTTTTTTCGCACGGGGTTTTCTTTTAATTTTATGATTTTTCGAAGCTCTAATAAACGTATATTTTGTTTTTTCTATATATTCTTGGCGTTTTTTCAATTTTTCTTTCTTTAATTCTTCTTTGAGTAACAACTCATTTGCCTTATCTTCATTTTGTTTGATTCTAAGTAGTTCTCGCTCTTTTTCTTGTTTTTGACGGATTTCACGTTCTTCCATATCCTTCTGATATGCTCGTTTCACTTGGTAATCAGCTTGATTCATTAAATCTTGACAACAATTAGCTTCAATGCGGGCCATTTTGATGTCATATTGCACATGATTGCCATGAATAGACAAGTATTCAAAGTACCTAAAAATAATTTAATAATAAAGACAATTCATACTTTTAAAATCAGTCATTTTTTTAATAATCATACGTTTGTGATAATCCAAGTTCACGTTTAGCTTGAAGTATAATTTTCAAGTTAGATTTTTCATCCTTCAGTATTTGATCTGCTAGTTTTTGTAGAGTCAAAGCAACATTGTAAACTATGACAATATCTTGAGGAGCAACTCTACGAGCCTGAAATTAGTTTTAATGAAGTTAAATATACATCTCATAAGTTAACTATGAATTAAATATGCTAACTAACTTTTAAAAATACAGCTTTTGCTTCTTTAAATTTTCCAGCACTGTAATATGCATGTCCAAGGTATTGCAGAACATCAACATTATCATATTTATAAAATTTTTTTATACAATGTTTATACTGAAAAGATTTAAAATAATCATAATTTATATATATATAAATATTAATAAAATATTATTTTAAATACTTATTTATTAACAATTTATAAATGTATACATAATACATATCATACTATATGGATTAATTTCAACATACCATTTGAATACCACTCATATATTGTTTTTGTTCAATAAATATATGTGCAATATTCAACCAGACATCAGGAAAGTTGGCGGTAGCTTCTCTTACTTGAGAAAATATTTCTCTAGCCTCATTAATACAATTTTGATAAGCTAAAACACAACCTTACCAAACAAAAAAAAAAAAAACACTTAATTTATATAATATTTAATAAATATAAATTATATTAATTAAAAAGAAAATCACTATGAGAAGCATCTTTTTCAAAATTTACAAGAATAAAAATGATTAATATTATAGACTAAGAATTAATAGATTTTAATCACCTGACATTTTTGACAAAGAATGATGTGAGACTTAATACTCATTAGGTACAAAAAAAAATATACTCTATGCATGTTAGTGAAAGTCTATACAAATACAAATGCAATGGTATTGTCAAAATACCTTAAACACAAATGCATAGATAATATCACGGTATAAAATTAAATTTTAAAACACATTTCTTAATATTTGTGATAATAACAAAAACAATAATCATAAATAATCGTTAATTTAAGAGAATGAAAATTTTTATGAAAATCTTTTGAATTTTTAAATTAAGTGCATATTTCACTTATTTATTATTGTGACAGGGAACATATTATACTTAAAATATGTATTAAAAATATTAATAAAATACCAACATGTTGTGCATTTATCAAACACTATTGTAATTTATCATGCAATCATAGTAATAGTTTATAATTTTTAAAAATTCTTTGTTCAAGTTTTTATATTCTTAACATTAATTGGAAAATGGAAGTACAGCTAAGATATAAGAATCACTTATTATAAAGAAATTATTAGAAATAAATTATCTTGGTAAGCTCCAGACATGTACTAAAGGTACGAAACAAATTTAATAATAAATTTCATTATATTATAATAACCTACTAACTTTAAGATATCTATATCAATAATAAAAACTTATATTCGTTAAATTAAAAGATACATTTATTAAATTTTAAAAACTAACAAAATAAAATAAAAGTTTAATACTAAAAAATGTTATCATCACTGACCTATTCCATTTGCAGCCCAAATATTTTTTGAATCGTATCTCAATACTTTGGTATAATAATGCATAGCCAAATCCTGATGTTTCTTTTGTAAGTTCTTATTTGCATTTGGGTTTTGAAGCATTTTCAACCAAATATTTCCCAAAGCAATCAATGCATATGAATCATTTAATGTTGACGAGTTCTACAAAAAAAAAAAAAAGTTATACTACCTTTGGATAGATATCATATCAATATGCAAGCAGTTTATGCGGCGTCAACGGTCCAAAAATGAAAAAAAAAAAGATAATATAATTTACAAACATTTAAAATACGTTCAAATTTTTTTTGACCAGGACCCCATTCGTTTTTATAAAAATGTAAATTTCCAAGTAATGACCAGGCATTGGAATTATCATTATCAATATGCAATGCTTCTTTAAACCAATCAGAAGCTTCATAAATTTGGTTACGATCTCGAGCCATACATCCCAAACGTAAATAACCTATAATATATAATTCAACATAACAACAGTTCTTAAAATTAGATAGAAATAAATATTCAGTATACAATCAATGTAATTAGGATGCTCTTTCAATATGTTTTTATAATGTATTTCAGCTTTCTGAAATTGAAATTGTGCTTCCAAAACCCTTGCCAAATTATAACTAGTTGTAACAGCTATAGAATTATAACGCTCCTGGTCAGTTATGGTCATTTTTTTTAACAGACTTAAAGATTCTTCTAGTTGAGAAAGAGATTCATCCAAATTTCCTAATCTGTAATATTAGAAAATTGTATGATTGTAAAATAAAAATATTTTTTTACTTTTTCCATACCTATAATTTAAAGCTGCAACATTATTAAGTATTTCAGGTGGAATTGTATTATTCGGATTTCTACGCAGTAAATTTATAGCTGTATTATACGCAGTCAAAGATTCTTTTAGATCAGATTGTTCTAATATCTTAGCAAGTTCAACACAAGCCTCCAAGTCATCTGGATTGTATTCAGTAACCTAGGATATTAAAAAACAAAAAAAAAACTATTTAAAACAAATAACTTAAAAGTTTTATTAAATACCTTTTTTAAATATTTTTTTGCAATATCTCTTTCCTGTTGATATTTTGAATCAGCATATATTGACCCAAGGATTTTCATAGTTTCATAATTTTCCGGTTCAGTTTTAAGAACTCTTTCAAAACACTTAGTAGCCTGAACAAATTACAATTTAAATCCATCAAAAATTGTATTTAATTTTAAATTAGAGAAAATAAAATTTTATAAATAAATATTACATTTTTTATATCGCCTCCATGAATATACATTTGACCAAGACCATAATATGGAAGTACAAATTTTATAGGTGCAAGCTTTGTGGCTTGATAATAGTATTGAAATGCTCGTTCAAAATCATTCTAAAAATTATTTTATAAAAGTTAAGTTATTTTTTAACAATAATAATTATATTACCTCTGCGTGATATGATCTAGCTACATGAAAACAACTCTCAGCTTTTATATTGTCATTTTCTGTGTGTTGTAATGCATGAATAGCAAGTGTTTGAGATTTATCATATTGTTTTTTAAAGAAAAAATGATTAGATAAATGATTTAACACCAATGGATGTATTGGATTAATTTTATAAGCTTCAGACAGCAAACTAATACCAAATTTTATGTCACTAAAACATTCATTATTCAACTTCATGATAGCAAGACCAACTAGTGCACCAACACATTTAGGATCCAACTTTAAAGTACGTTCAAATGATAAACATGCTTTTTCTATATTTCCCAGTTTCAAGAAACAATATGCCAAACCTAATCTTACATCAGCAGGACAATTAGGGTTGGATCGCAAAACTTCTTTAAAATACGCTAGGGATCCTCTGTAATCCTTCTTATAAAACGCAATACATGCTTTGCCTAGTTGAGCTGGTATGTTATTCTTTGACTGATTCAATATAAAATTGAATTGTGTGTCAGCCTGGTCATTTCTATTACCATTCACTAAACAGAGAAAAGCGCGACCCAATAAATGATCCTGCAAAGTTTAAAAACATATAAAACACCTAAGTAGATTTACTTAACATTTAGTAGATAACTAGTGATAAATAGATTCTTACCACATCATACATCATTATTTTATCTCCTATTGTATATAGTTGAGTTGCTTTATTAATGAGTTCGATACGTTTATCTTTATTCTTTTCTCGATTAGCCATTTGTACATAATATGCTGCTAACATATCTAAAACTCTCATTTGATCTTTAACACTGTCTTTATATTCTAAACTTGAATGAATGCGTGATGTTTCCAACAACTTAACAAAAGCAACTGAATTGTTTTTTTTATAATATTCCAACTAAAATTGTTCAAAAAAATAAATAAAATCATTATCACATATTAATGTTTAAAATATAATAAAACATAAAAACATACTGCTAAATTGACCCATATATGTAAATCTGAACGTTCGATTTTTAAAATATCAAGAAGCTCGTAAAAGTTTGGCAATCGACTTGTATGTATTTCAATAATCTAATAAAAAAGTCGATTAATAATTTTTAATTAAAATAACAGTATATCTTTGTATACTAAATACAACGTTATTTTATTTATACTGTATAAATGTAAACATAAAATGGTAGTTAAAATAATATAGTACAAGTATCATTGACCTAGTTATAATATACTATAATACAGTTATATTTCCCAACTAATGTTTTTAATTACTTGGTATACTCTAGTTGTTTTATATATTTAAATAAACTTTTTATTGTTAAGTGGCATTTTAGATTTATCATAAAAATATTAATAATTAGGTAATATGCGTAAAACAATATTTTTATTATTAAATAAAATATTACACATTTGAAATATAAATTATTTTTAAATCAGACCAATATCTTTAAGCAAACTTGAATTTGATTCATGATTAAATCCTTGAATTTTTTTTTTTTTATAAACAATTATTAATCATTTATGTATTAATTAAATAAAAATATTTAATGAATAATAATAAACTTTGATTTTTTTCTGTATCATTTAAATATATTTTAGAAACCACTAAATTAATTTTATAAGATTAAATGTATTTAACAAAAATATAATTTAAAACAAAAAAATTAATACCAAATTGCATAAATAATTTATTCATTTAATAGGTTAACCTTGAATCATTAAATAATATTTATTATTCACTCACTATTGGCTTATTAAATGTTTAGTGACTGTATAAGTCACCTGGTATAACAATGTCTACATAAATTAAAAATATTTTTAAATAAAAAATAGGCTTATAAAAAAATATATATAATATATTCCTAGGTATACAATTTTAAACTATAATATTATATTTCAATATATACCATTTTCTAAGTATGTTACAAACTATACTTCTTCAAACTATCAATCATTATTATTTTAAAATTTATATAAATATGAGATATTAATAATTAAAATGTATTTACTTTTCATGCACAATAATTAAACTACAACAACTACTAATAATAATTACTATTATATAGATATTAAACCATGTAAAAAATATAGTATCTTACAATGATAAGTGTTGGGTTCCCAGAAACTACGACATAAACTGAAAAACCATTACATGAAACACTTTTTATATACTGTAATATGTTTCTGCCAATAAATAATAATGTATTGTTTTACAATTATATGATAAAAAAAATGCATATGTACTTGTATGTACACAAAACTGTATTGTGAACAGCATATGTTATCGAATAACTGATTAGCGATAAAATAAAAAACAAATACCTACATTATTACATATCACTATACATATTATAATAAACATGTCAATAAAATCAATAACAGTATTTTTTAAAAAAGGTCAACAAAATTTAATTACAAGCAAACATGAATATAATAACAGTGTGATGTACTTGTCTACCTAAATATGTATTAAAAATGATATACTGAAATTGTTACAGAATTAAACGAAACACAAATACTTAAACTTCTATAACTAATAGTAAAACATTAAATAAGGCGACGTTAAACGAGGACTTACTGTATTTTGTTTTGTGTCTAAAAACTTAATTCTATTAGGAACAATGCTTTGATCATCAACTTCATAGGAGGTTATTGGTAGGAAATTGTATCTTGTTAGTACTTTTGGAAAGTGAAAATTAAAAAATTCTCAATAATAATCAAATCTATAATAGTATAATAATTTACTAAAGCTAGTATAGCCTAGATTACAAAGCCAAAACTTCATATCAAACCTACAATACACACAAACATAATATTAATCTAGTTACACTACACATCAAAAGACAAACAACTACAACTTGCAAACCGAACATGACGGTTTCTGGTCTTCTATTTTGGTACTTCCATTTCGAGTAATTAATAAAATCGTGCCCAAAAAACTGTACTTAATTTATATTCAATTGTTGAATTATATTCCTTTCCGCGCACATGTAAAATACCCGGATGATAAAAACAACATTTAACAAGCACACATACCTCATCCATATCTTTCAGGGGTATTTCGATCGTGTTAGCCATGTTCCGTGATGGTAAACAAAATGACAATGAAACGACAACCACTGGCGGAAATTTGACTTTCGAAAAATACAGCGAGTGAAAAATTAACGTTTCACAAATTCCGTAACACACGTTTGTATAAAATCGTTCTTAGTTCTCAGAGAGACTAGACTAGACTCGTTATAAATTATCGCGACAGTAACACAAGTTAATAATTTTTTCAGTACATCACAAACTATACACACAAAAACCAAAAATGTATTAAAAAAATAATAGTATTAGTGACGTTAACCTAAATGATTTTAACAGCAACCACTACTCGGAACATCAACAAGTGTTACCATATTATAGGCAACGAATAGCCACAAGTGTTGACGACATTGCTTATCTTACTCACACAATCGATAGTATTATGTACTGTCGCGCCTTGCAGATGGTTGTCCACTTGTTCCACTCACACCTCGGTGGACAATACAAAATCTGGCCCGGTAATAAAATTATAAAAAAGCCAATCGTACGCTATGACTTTTTTGGATAATATAAATTACAATTTGATTCATAAGCTAGACCCCGATTTTTTTAAATTTTTAGTACAAAACACTCGTTAAAAGTTTATTGCTTTTATTTTTTGAGAATTGTATGTTGACTTTATGTTGGTTCTGACATCCCAAAGTAGACGATTCTCTCACTATCCATTAAAATATTATACTTCACATAGTTTTAGCGAGACATACAAGTTGGGTCTCAGATACAAATAATACGTACAGCTCAAGTGCTAACAGATATTATGCTAGTAAATACACGACACTGCTATGTGATTCAGCTTAGTCCAAGTGATTGTGACCTTGAACACGGCAACAGTGAATGTTTTCGTAACGGTAAACAAACCCATAATTCTAAGGTTAGTTCACGAACTCGTTTCCATATTTATAAGAAGTTCATAGTTCAGATTACAGAAAAAACAAGAACCCGATCAACTGATTGATTTCACGATGCTAGTTAGATCCTAGTTCATTTTAGATGCTATCAAGGCACCTACAAGGAGGTTAGGTGTCAGTATTATGTTTTTATTATTTTTTTTTTTAAATAATATTAATATTACAAATGTAAAATTACGATATAGTCAGGTTATATTTTAATTCATATCTTTGTTCCAACATCGCAAATATTATATATCTACACAGTAAATGACGAATGTTGAAATTATGTATAAAAAGTATCAAGACTCTGGAATCTAATTAGTGTAGTTATGGTGACGTCGAACAAGGGGTTTACACCAACTACATTCAACATAAACCAGACCAATTATTATTAAGGGGTGTTAGGTGCAGTGTTGTATAATGATAATTTTTTAAATATCTAGATAAAGATATAAGATACATAAATTATTTAATTAACTAGATAAAGATAAAAAAAATTACAGTTTAAAATCTAGATAAAATTTTTTTTTTATATAGGTATTTCTCAAATTTAATTGCATTACAGTTGTAATATAAGTAACTGTATAAGTTAAATAAATGTTGTTTCTAAAAAAAAATGTAAAATGAAGTTTAAAAAGTAAAGGGTAATGCTTAAAACCCCACAAGTTTTATGACAAAAAAAATGAAACTTAAAATTATTTAAATTTAGAAGTTTTCTTTATATACCTATGTAGGTATGTATTATTTTTTAATAATTCATTAACGTTTTACCTATTGAACAAAATTAAAATTAATTAATTTAGTTTAAGACAAATCTAATTTGTTTTTTTTTTCAATAGTAATAAATAATAATAATTGTAATTACATCCCTGTTTAATTCATTTATATAAATATTCAGTATTTATAATTCCTGTAATAATATTTAATAACTATTAAGTAATATTTAATAAATAAACAAGCACTTTGCTAATACATTTTATCATTTATTTTTATAATTTTAACATTTGATAATATTTATATTTAGAAAATATACAAAATCAAGCATAATATTATAATATTTATAAATTGTAAATAATTACATATTTCTTAAAAAAAAGTTAATTAATACAAAATCTAATAATCTGTTACAACTATATAACATTATAATATTATTTCAAAGTACTTAAAAAAAAAAAAAAATGTATATAACTATAAATTTGAAAAACAAAATTATAAATTTATAAATAACAAACAAAAACTTATTAACATAGTATAATAAAAATCAAGGAATAGTAAATTAGTAACATTATTGTTGTCGATCCTTATTGTTTAAAAAAAAACATCTACAACATAGCAACATAGGAACATTTCAAATGTTTTATCACTCAGTCTATTACACCTAGAAGTTAAAATTTGAGACCCACAACTAAACAAACGTTCTACAGGAGCTGAGGATAGTAATGTTGTATTATATTTAAGAAATATATTTTTTACAATGGAATAAGAGTTCAAAATATTCAGTTCTTTTTCTTTTGCATCTAAGATAAAGCTTGTACATTAGCAATATTTGTTGATGCAGAAGTAGACGGTTCACAGTTATTTTCATTAAAATATTATACTAATCATCATCATCGTCATTATTAACAGTTTCCATACCTTCTGAATTTTAATCAAAATTATTTATTTATAAATTGCATTCAGACAAGAATAATTTTTTACAAACTGACATAAATCTCACCAGAATACAATTTAATCTAAATTTTGGACGACTGATGGATGATAATATATAAGCTTTGCTTTTGACATGCTCAAGATCAAATATAAATGGAAATCTTTTTTCCAGACTTATAACTATTAATAATGATAATGGCTTACAATATACTAAACTTGTTAAATTAAGTAACTTCAATCTCAAAGCAATTATTGTGGAAATTACATAGCCCAAAAAACATGTTTTTTCACCCTGTAATTTATCTAGAGAAATAGCTAATAGTTCCATTACAGAACAATATTCCTCTAAAAATGACCATTCATTTAACGTAAGTTTACTTAATTTCAAATCATCAAATATAGATACTAGTTTATCTTTATAAGAAACTACTTTTTTAGCAGCAAAGAACATAGAAAGATTCCAAAAAGAATTTAGTTTTTTTAAAGTTGCAGTTGAGATTTTATTATAGGATGAGTTGGAGATTTTAGAAGTATCTATAGTTGCTATTAAATTCAGCGTATGAGCAGTGTATGTCATGTGTTCTGGTAAACTATATTCATTGCTATAATTTTCGTAACTAAAAATTGAATCCATTGTGATGACTTTAATTTCAACATCCTCATCTGAATTATCAGAACATGAATCATCAACCTAAATCACCTCTTTCTAAATCACCATGTTTTGAAGAATTTGAATATGTTGGAATAACAGATTGGGAAGAAAATATTCTAAAAGCTTTTCCAAAATTGCTAGCATTATCAGTAACAGTGTGTGAGATTTTAGAGTTATTAATTTTATAGGTTTAAGTAATTTCATTAATAATTTCAGCGATATTATCATAAGTATTTTCATTAATAAAATAACATGTCATGCCTAAATAACTCTTGTTGTTGCAGCTCCAAATATCGGCAGTAGTACAAATAAAGTTATGTTCAGAAATCAGTTTAGTTAACAAATAATTATAAGAAAAATATTTAAGTTTTAACTCTTTTAACATCACTTTTCTATCAGGAAAATGAATATTTTTTGTGATACCAGAAAGGTCCTTGATTAAACGCCGAAAAGATGGTTTTCCACAGGTTACTATGGGTCGCATCTCTTCAACAATATATTCAAAAACCAGTGTAGTCACCTAAATCAAAATGAATTAACTATTTTCAACAACATAAAAAATAATATTCTTTAAATTACTCTACTTTTAGGTAGGTTTATACATTTTTATAAAAGGCATATTCATATAAGGCATTTTAATCAATTTTGGGGACTACTGACTTTAAATTTTGAAATTCTATTTGACTGAGCAAATGGTAATTTAGATTATGTGTTCACCGAAGAAAATGTTGAATCATTTGTTGATTTCTTTAATTTGTAACTATCTTTTATTATCTTTACTTTTGAAAGACTCGCAGTATGTCTATACTATACAAATATACATTAAAGTAGTACAATATTATCAATTTAGGTGAAAAATTAAGAAACATAACACTGATGAATGATGATTAAATATAGATAAACTTTGGTACAAGCATAACGCAATTGGTGTTTCAAAAATATCAACATAGGTAACATAACCAAACAACATGCATACATAGCCACATATATAGGTGTCCATATAAGTATATAACACACATTATTTTCTTTGGAAAACATACATTATTTATTTACCAATTCAATACAATCCAAAAATTATAATGTTCAAGTAAACTAGCCTATTATAAAACTTAAAAAAAAATATTACAGGAATGTATTATTTTTGTTTATTTATTTTATTTTTTGTTAATATTTTAACATTTTAGATAGCCAATTGAGATTTTGATAGGGCTTTCCTTTAAATGGTGTATAGATACCTAACGACTAATGTAGTTATATGATTTTATTAAAAACTAAAAATCTGAATAAGAACAAAATATACAGGTAACTATGCATAACAGCATTTTTAGAATAATATAATTTATCAAAATAGTATATTTTTACAATTTTTTGTAATATCAGATACTTAGTGTTACACTATTTAACCAATGTTCTTAGGTATTTCAAAAATCATTACTAATTAAATTAAATTAAAACATACCTTAATGTGGCTAAGAAAATTTCCAGTAGATCCATTTTGTCCTTGAATAACTTTTATACACATCTGGCACTGGGCCGATATATTTTTTTATCATCATCTTTGATGTCACTGAACAGTTATCCATTAAGAATATAGCAATTGGTTTTACTATTTTCATTTGATGTTTCGAGTTCATCAATATTGTCAGATTGTGTTTGAAGCTTTTGCTTTTTATTTTTAGAGGAGTCAGATTTGAAAATTACAAATTTATCCATATTGTATAAGACGGACAAGTAGACAACAATTTACAATCGGTTATTCGAATTATGAGTTTTGACGCTAGTGTAATAATGTAATATGTATCAGTGACTACGTGTTCATGCGTTCGGTTAAACTATTATGCGAAAACTGATAAAATAGAAGTACTGAATTGTTTGGTCATTGGTATACTGAAATAAATTCCCTATATACCTAATTATAAAACTTATGATAAAGATTAAACTATTAACCGTATAATATATATATATATATATATATACAGTTTACACTAATCATGTAGATGTTATTACAATGCTAAAATTAGTATTAACTATTAGCAGACCAACAGTATATTATATTATGTTAATAATTGAATTTTTTTCCAAATAATATTATTATATGGGATTTCGGTAATATACTCGACGATGACGACGTTCGCACGATTATAAAAATAATTTTCAAATAATGCCAACTTGGATTATTATTGGTGGCAATAATGTACAGCCGTCATCCTCACTCGTTTCATATTACGGAAATACGGAATCCCGTCGCTATTCGTCATCACCGTGACACTGTCGCGTTTTTTATTTTCGAATAATATACGGTGATCCGTTATCGCATACTGTTTATTTAAAATATAAACTTGATAAATCCAATAATTTAAATGAAAAATATATAGATTAAATAGAGAAATATTAAGAAATAGTATGTAAGTTTCCAGATCCATTAGTTGTAGGTATAGAAAATACAGGAGACCTAATATTGAGCTAGTAACCCTTGAATCTTTCTGTATCGAGTATTTCAACTGAACGATTATTTTCAAAACAATAATTAATAGGTAAGTAATTGACTGTTTAGTTCTTGAATTGTCTCCGATAATTAATATACTAAATTGATATTTTTAATATTATTTCACTAATAACAATAACTCCATCGTATTCATGATTGAATAATATTTAAGGAAAGCTCGTTTCCTAAATGCATTTTAATTCTTTAAAATTAAAGCATCAACAAAATCATATGGCAAGGATATAGCCTAAATAATATTCCTTAAAAATTAATAATAGGTTAATATTATCAATTCACTACAATATTAAAAATAATAGTAAAATGAATTATTTAATACATAGGTAATATACACGTAAAAATTGCCATGTTATTCGTTAGTAAGACGAATTCAACACACACATATACATCTTGTAATAAGCATTTTAAAACTAAACCATTATGCAAAATATTAAATTTAAACCCCAAGTTTTTCTTTCCCCTCTCCCCTAAAAATATATCTGCAATATATTTTATATTATATACAATATACGAGTAAATATATTCTATTACATATTAGGGTTTGTAAAAACTTTTTATACAAAAGGAATAATACTATTCCGTGAAAATATTTTCCGGGAAGAAAAATAATATAATGATATTTTAGCTGTAATTCAATGTTTGAACGTGACCACAGACATAATGTCAAATTTTACCATGGAAATTTTTTTATAATTTTTTCATATCTACGGACGTAAAGCAAAATATTACAATGATAATAGTATCAAAAATAATTATAGTGATAACAAACATATCACTAAGCTCCGTACGATATAGAGTACTAACACTACCAACGAATAAATATTTTATAATAATATATAATTTGGTGATTTTCAACCGGTGTGTTGCGGCACACTGGTGTGCCGCGAGCGCCTTTGAAGTGTGTCGCGATAAATCTATTGATGGAGTTAATTTTGTATATATATATATATGTAAGATATATAAAAACATATGCTTCACGTATTATATGAATTAGTGTGCCGCAAACATTTTGTAGAAGAAGTGTGCTACATTGTTAAAAAGGTTGAAAACCACTGATATAACTAATTAAAATATTAATCCATGCAATATGCATAATATACCCTTACCGATGCTTTTTGGACACCTTAAAAACTCGCGCAGAGTATTGTAATACATTTTGAAACATCGATTAGCGGACGGACGCATACCTGCCACCAGATGGTAGGTGCGCATCATATATCACCCGTTGTCCGACCGAGGACGCTTCACTACTTCACTTTAGTTGAATATTAACTCTCGAGTCTTGAGCAGTCTTTTCCGAAATTCCTGGAATCGTAATCAATAAAGATTTTTACACCCACCCAGCAACAGGAGTGTTTACTTGTTGTAATTTGTGGTATTGTGTACGGCGGACGTACATTCCGTCATTATTGTTGTAACGTGTCGGTTTTGTGTGCGATAAACAGTCATAAATTAAATAACATTTTTAAGTTAAAAGAAAAACCAAATATGGCCGACTCTAATGCAACACAAGGAAATAAGGTAACCAAAATTATTTTATTGATATTTTAACTTACACGTGTGATTAATGATTCTGTAAACATTATGTGCTCAGAATGACAGCGACTTGGAGGTGTTTGGTGATTGCAACGGTCCGAATTCCGAATATGTAAAACTAATCTCGAGCGACGGTTTAACGTTCATTGTGAAACGTGAATACGCGTTGACATCTGCTACTATCAAAGCCATGTTAGAAGGTCCAGGACAATTTGCTGAAACCGAGTGCAATGAAATCAATTTTAAGGATATTCCGTGAGTTTTCATAGTTTTGCCAACATCAGACGTCTTGATTGTTTAATTTGTTTTTTCCATTATTTAGTTCACACATCCTGCACCAAGTCTGCTTGTATTTTGCCTACAAATCTTCTAAAGATAAATCTAAAGACAGCGATTTGTTTGATGCATCGCCATTCGAAATAAATCCAATTATGGCTTTGGATTTAATGATGGCAGCAAACTTTTTGGATTGCTAATATTCAATGTAGATATGTATTCAATATTTTAATAATATTTAATGTAAAAAAAATTAATAGTTATTATCCATAAAGCATAAATCATAGAACATAATTATTATTAACCCTTTACAGCCCAGTGATGATTTTATACATCATGATATTATTGATATTTAACAATTTTTCTGTTTTTCTGTGATAACCATGGATTATTGTGAGTTGCATAATAAATAAAGTAATATTATTACTTATAACTTTGTTAGTAAATAATTTCATTGTACTAAAGGGTTATAGTAGTAGAAAGTCAAATAAGGAGATCACCATATTTTTTTACAAATACCATCTGTGTGAAAAAGCATAGTGGACTCCGTGACTGATGTTCTCTTATTGTTCCTCTTAGATTGTTTACTATAATGTAATATAACAAAAACTTTAGCCACAGCAACGCGTGGCCGGGTCAGCTAGTATTATTATATTTTATAGTATGCATCTAAAACATTTTATACAATCAATCAATATATCAATCAAAATAAACCCCATAAATGAGGTATAAAAGTTTTCGCCATTGCATCTATTAGTGGTTTTATACACGACTTTGAAATTTATGTGGGTAAAGGTACTCTGCCTGCAACAGGATCGGGTTAGGTATTAGTGGTGATATTGTAATACGATTATTAGAAAGTGTACCTAAATTTAAGAACTATAAAGTGGCCACTGATAATTGGTTCAATTCATACAATTTACAATGTCATTTAAAATTTTCTGGGATGTTGGGTATTGGTACAACTCGAACAAATCGACTGTCAGGTTGCACATTTAAAAATGAGAAAGACATGAAAAAATCAGGTCGTGGAACATATGACACCAAAGTTGACACTACTAATAAAATTGTTGCTACAAAATGGTATGATAATAAATTTGTTCATGTTGTTTCCAATTATAAAGGCATTCATCCATTAGATGAAGTGGAAAGATGGTCTACAGCAAAAAAAGAAAGAGTTGTTGTACCTAGACCAGCATCAATTAAAGAGTACAACAGGTTTATGGGTGGTGTTGACTTGCATGACATGCTCGTTGAGTTGTATAGAACAGATATTCGCGTTTGAAGATATTATTTACGTATAATTTTTCATACTGTTGACATGTGTGTTGTTAATTCTTGGCTGTTATATCGAAGACATTGCGCTCAAATGAAACAAAAAAAATTTATGCCTCTTTTAGAATTTAAAATGGATATTGCTCATAGTTTACTCCTTGCTGGAAAAGTTAAACCTTCTTTAAAACGAGGAAGACCTTCTAAAACACCATCACCATCCAGTAAAAAAAGGAGGCTTTTTGCTCAACGACCAGTAGATGAGGTTCGGTATGACCAAGTAGGGCATTGGCCAATACGAGTTGAAGTATCCAAACGACAACGCTGTAAGCATTGCATTAAAGCATATACAACAACATCATGCTCAAAATGTAATGTTTTCTTATGTTATACGTTGAATAGAAATTGTTTTGTTGGATTTCATCAAAGTTCCTAATTAATTTTATTAATTAAATTGTTTTTATTATTATTAATTATATTGTATATTGTTTAAATTATAATTTTTAAAAGAAATTGTTATAATGGCTATCATCAAAGTTCTTAATTAATTTTATTAATTAAATTGTTTTTATTTTTATTATTTGTTGTATATTGTTTAAATTATAATTTTTAATTAAACAAAAGGAAATACACTGAAAATAAATTGTAATGTTGACTATCATCAAAGTTGATAATTTAATCATGTTTTTAATTTTATGATCTATAATGTTTTTCATTTTAATTATTTATATCTCATTATAATATTATGGTTTTTAACTAAACAAAAGAAAAAAAAATTGTTGTAACATCTTATGTAACATAGAATTATAATTTTTTTAAGTTAAGTAAGTTGCCTATTAGAAAGGGGCAATGTTGCAAAATTAGTTCATTGATGCCCAATGATCCATTACATCATACATTTTTTAGAAAGATGTATTTAAAAAAATTTTATATTTTGATCATTTTCCCTTAATTTAGCTATTAGAAGTAAGGTTAAAGCAAAAAAAAATTTTTTGGTCAAAAATTATAAATTCAGGCTTGAAAGGGTTAATAATATAGCTTAAAAATAAAACAAAATCTGTTTAGTAGATACGCTCCTGTTATAGAATAGGTGTAGTGTACTTAATCATTAAGTAATATTTATCAAATAACATAGTTTACTGTAATGAATGTGTTTAACTTAAATACAATGATAAACATTGTATACAATTAAAAACATTTCTGTACAAAAACATCCCAACCTTTTTTTTTAGAAATAATATTAAAATTTTAATAAATTTTCTAATTTTTTTTTTGTAATTTCTGATGATTTTATTATTTTTTTTTTTTTACTTGAAAGTTTTTTCAGACATAGAAATAAATAAATAACACTTATCATTATAAAATGAATACATTTTTTGCTTCATCGAGAATTGTATTACTAATGATAATAATTGTCTTATTATATACAACATTTTTCAGTAGAATTTTATTAATTAAATCACACTGAATAAAAAAAATTGTTTTATTTTTTATATTATATGATTGCTTATTGTACAACTTTTTGGTATTGAAAATAAATCTTAAATACTGTATTACTATAATAAAAATCTCCTAACTGATATTTGTGATTTTTTATTACTATCACCATAGACTAACATAAATGTCTGCCATATCTACTAGTATTGTGATATTACATAATATGAGTTTATGAGTCTCTAAATTGCTGAAAGAATATATTATATTTGTAAGTATAGTTTTTAAAACATTTGGTTGTATTTAGGGTTGCCACCTTCACTTGGTGAATCCAAGTTTACATATAAATCTATGGGCAACGGGTTCAGTGAATTATTCTCCGCGTCATCATAACATGAGAACGTGTATTTTTCTATAATTATAAATAGTTTGTAAATAAGTAAAAAAACTATTTATTTTTTTACACCAAAAGATAAGATAAGATTACTTATCTTTTCACTTCATAAACTAAGCTATAGATTATATTACATACTGGTGTAATACTGGCTGATGACCTTTTTTTTTTTTTTTTGCTTATGTTGCCAGTTGTATTAAATAAAAGTACATTTTCCAATGAATATTCAATTCATTTTTGTAAAATTATTTTCCATATTTTTATCTTGTAATAAATGTTCATCAACAGCAGAACATAATACATAAGGAACCATTCATTTTTTAATCAGAATATAGTTGTGAGAATATTTTAAAGATTATCAACAGTAAATGCAGAATGCATAAAATTAAGCATAGTTTTTTCTTAGAAAAAAAAAATGTTGAAGGGAATAGAATAATAGAGTAATCCAAACACATTTAAGTTAAATTAATAAACAAATTAATACGCACTACTTAACTTACGATGGCAATGGGTTGCAACCTAACTCGACTGTCCTATAATGGCTATAATAATACATACTATAGCAGTATTTACAGGGTAATAACTAAAAATTATAATTTAATATTTCAACACAAAGTATTCTTAATTTTAAATTCAAGCAAAAATAAAATAATTATCAATAAATCAATAAAAAATATTAAGTTTAATTATGTATTTTTTTATGAATAATGTATATAGGATATGTATAAAATGTATAGAAACAGAAAAAATCAGTAAGATAGATAATATCCAATCTCAAAAAGTATCTTGGATGTGAAAGACTTAATCTTCGTTCTTATTACATAGTATTTAAGTTAAAATAATTAATATGTATGGATAAGATAGTAAGAAAATATTTGTTTAATATTATATAAATTATTTGTATATAATGTATATCATATAAATATATTTTAAACCATGAAATTAGTTACATTAGCAACAATTAGTTAATACTGAAATTTGTAAGTTTCTTTCTAAAATATCTTTTTAATTAATAATCATGTTTAGAATAATTACTGAATACAATTATTATAGATATATTAATTATCTGATAAGAGGTTTTTTTGACATAACTGATTGTATATTCCTCAAAATTTAGGTTCAGCAATAAAACATTTTAATGTTTGTTCTACATCAATTTTATCAAATTTATGGTATCTCTTCATTTTTTTTACAGAATCTAAATACACAAGTATTATTTATATTATATTTATTGCTACTACATTGTAATAATTTAAAAAGACAATTAATAATGTCAAGGTTTGATTATATGCCTTTAAATTAATTACAAATCATAATATCATCTTTTTTCTCCTGACAGCGACTTCTCTATTGATGCTGTAGTGAATGTTCTGAATATTTAGTAAGGTGACCAGTATAAAACAATTACAAGACTTTCTTTACTCAAGTACATTTATTAACTTTATTATAATTTTTCGATACACAAATTATTCAACACATTTAATTTTAACTATAAATAATTTTAACACTTACATCTTCTTGCATATCCGATCTGCGTAGTCTTTTACACTGCTTGTGATCGTCTATACAAAAAGACGGAAAAAACACTGTCCTTTGACTGGCGGTGACCAGCCTTTTTATAACTAATGTCCTGTATGTGTATGCGTATATACGTGTGCTATCTATTGTTCCTATAATTTTATCTTATTTAATACTAACGACTTATAACTATTTTAAATTATTTTATTACACTATATTTAAATATTTAATGTTACCAAGTATAATGGAACATGATGTTAAATTGAAAATAATTTCTTCTTTTTTTTTGTCCTTTGTAACTATTCTTTTAATAAATTATTTTTAAAATGATAATGTACCATTGATTGGTTCTTAGAAGTGTATTTACATTTTTACCATTTAAATTATAGTTTGGGTTTAAAAGTTAATTTTCAACATTTTGAAGAGATTCTTTATCATATAAAGGAAATTCATTGTTTATATTATATTGAAATGAATTTTTTATTATAATTGGTGGAATTTATTACATAAGTAGTAGTCATCAACTACATAAATATTTATCATTGATGATTTTATAGGACTATTAAACATAACACATTTATTTTTAAACTGTTAACATATTAAAATTACTTCATCCTTATTTTTGTTTTATAATAGATATAAAAAAAATATATTTACAGAAATGTAAGTAATAGTTTAAATAACATAGATATATTGTTTTAAAAAATCTAAATAAAAAAATAAAATACAAACTCAAAACCTATATTTTATAATATAGATATTTTAATTTTTAATGAATTTAAATAAAAAATAAAATAGTAAGTACCCGACATTTATTAATTTTATTAATTATTTAATTAGTTATATGAAAGGGATATTCAACCAACTTCACTAAATACCTAAATATATATTTCTTTCATTATTAAATAGTTTCCAATAAATTTAACTAAAATATTTTAAATCTAAAAAATTTAAATAAACTTATGAACAAATATTATTTATTCTCTAAATAGGAGATATATTTTATATCCAGACAATTAAAGTGTACCTATGTTATACATTTATATAATTAAGTTAACCTATCTATCAAATGTAAGATGTAGATAAAAGTCATAAACTCTTATGATAGCTAATTCATAGTACATGATAATTCAGAAATTAAGTTTACATATGATTGTATATTTTTATCAATAGTAATTAGTAATAATGGTAGTTTTTTTTTTGTATTCCACCAACATTTTACTTTTTAGACTTAACAACTTAAATAAATAGTTAATTAATATAATAAACGAAATGGAAACTAAAATTAAAGAGACAATAAGCCATTAACCCACTACCTATTGATTTTTAATAAATGTTTAGTAATTAATGATTGTTTATGCAACCATAAGAAACCCATATATAATGAAATATGACATCATAAGATGAATTAAATTTAATACTTCTGTTATTAAGAATAGTTAATATTTTCATTAAAAGTATTAATAGACATACTCACAAGTTTGAAGTTAGAATACCCAAAATCTTCATAAATTATAGCAATAGCTATTAAAGTAAAAATTAAATATAATGTTAATATTAAATAACTGAACATAAAACGTGAAAGAACTTAAAATTTTAAAATACTAAATAGTATATAACAAAACGGGCAACCGCAGTCGTGTGATTCGTCAGTCGTCATTCAATAG